AACATATGTAGCTGGTAAAGCCAATATGTAGGCTACTTTCCCAATCCTTTCCACAATCTCAAAATGACCAATGTAACGAGGACTGAGTTTGACAATCTTGCCAAAACGGAGGACACCATTCATAGGCCTGATCTTTATGAAAACAAAATCCCCTATACTGTATTTCACAAAATGGTGCTTAGCATCATAATACTTCTTCTTTCTATCTTGTACTGCTAGCAACCTATCTCTGATCATTCTGATCTTGTTTGCAGCATCATCAATCAAGTTTGATTCAATTATCTTCCTCTCACTTGCCTCTGCCCAACATAGAGGTATTATACATTTCCTTCTATAGAGTGCTTCATATAGAGCAATTCCTATGCTGGCTTGGAAGTTATTGTTGTAATCAAACTCTATCAAATGAATATGAGATTCCCAACCTACACAAAAAATCAAGAACATACAGTCTCAACAAGTCTTCAAGGGTTTGAATAGTCCGCTCAGTTTGTCTATCAGTTTGAGGATGAAAGACCATACTAAAAGTCAATTTGGTGCTAATAGCCTCTTGAACTTTATTCCAAAGTCTAGAAGTAAATCTATCATCTCGATCAGATACTATAGACTTAGGTACACCGTGCAAACGAACAATCTTAACCAAATATAATATTGCTAGCTTCTCAACTGAGTCAGTCAGTCGGATAGACAAAAAGTGAGCAGACTTTGTAAGCTTATCAATGATAACCTAAATAGCATCATGACTCTGTTGAGATCTGGATAAACCTGACACGAAATTCATAGCAATATCATCCCACTTCCACTTTGGAACCAGTAATGCTTAAAGTAATCCACTTGACTTTTGATGCTCAACCTTTACTAACTGACAAGTAGTACACTTAACAACGAAATCAGCTACACTCATTTTCATCCCAAGCCATCAAAATAAACCCTTAAGGTCTTGATACATCTTATTACTACCAGGATGAATAATATAAGCATAATAATGAACTTCATAAAGAACATCCTTCATCAAATCACCAACATTAGGCACATAAACTTTGCTCTTATACCATAAAAGATTATCTTCATCAATATTGAAATCCTCTTCATGACTTGTCTTTACTAACTGAATGATCTTCACATAATCTGGATCTTTCCATAAAGATTCAGCTATCTCACTCCTCAAATCAGATTTCACTATCAACTGACCTAACCATCATACATTTTCAGTTGTAGGAAGTACTACAGACAACTCCAACCGTTCCATCTCTTCAATTAGCTTCTCTTGCTGAGTTACTAAACCTTTCAACTTCATCGACATTTTTCTGCTTAATGCATTATCAACAATATTGGCTCTTCCTAGATGATATTGAATATATAAATCGTAATCATTAAGCAGTTCCATCCATCTGCTTTGCCTTAAATTCAGCTCTTTCTGAGTGAAAATATATTTCAGATTCTGGTGATCTGTAAATACTTCACAATGTACGCCATATAAATAGTACCGTTAAATCTTCAAAGCAAAAACTACAACAGCAAGTTTTAAATCGTGGGTTGGGTAGTTCTTCTTATGACTTTTCAATTGCCTAGAGGCATATGCAACTACTCTCCCATGTTGCATCAAGACACAACTCAAGCCCTTCAGTGATGCATCACTAAAAATCTGAAATCCTTCAGTACCTGAAGGAATAGTAATAATCGGTGTAGTCATCAAACGAGTCTTCAACTCTTGAAATGCTTCCTCACATTGACGGCTCCACTCAAACTTAACTGCTTTCTGAGTCAGTCTACTCAAAGGTGCAGCAATCTTGGAAAACCCTTCTACAAATCTTCTGTAGTAGCCAGCTAACCCAAGAAAACTCCGTATCTCAGTCACTGTTGTAGGTTTGGGCCATTCAGCTATAACCTGCACCTTATGCTGATCCACAGAAATACCATCCTCATTAATTACATGACCAAGAAAAGTCACACTCTTCAGTCAACTCACACTTAGAGAACTTGACATACAATTCATTGCCTCATAGAGTTTGTAACACTGCCTAAAGATGATTGGCGTGATGCTCTTTATCACAAGAATAGATCAGAATGTCATCTATGAAGGCAATGAAAAAACTGTTGAGCATTGGCTTAAACACCCGATTTATCAGATCCATAAAAGCAGCTGGGGCTTTTGTTGGCCCAAAAGGTTATACTGTGAATTCGTAGTGTCCATACCTTGAGCTAAAAGCTGTCTTTGGGATGTCTTCCTCCTTAATCTTCAACTGATTATAGTTAGACCTCAAATCAATATTGGAAAAGACCGTGGCTCCAACTAGTTGATCAAATAAATCATCTATCCTTGGAAAATGATACTTGTTCTTAATGGTAAGCTTGTTCAACTCCCTGTAATCAATACAGAGTCGCATGCTACCATCCTTCTTCTTAACAAAGAGAATTGGTGCTCCCCAGGGTGAGGTGCTTGGGCGAATAAATCCATTCTCCAGCAGTTCTTGTAATTGTGACTTCAGCTCATGAAGTTCCTTAACTGTCATACGATAGGGTGCTTTTGAAATAGGCTCAGCACCAGGTATAAGATCGATAGAGAAATCAATCTCTCTAACCAGAGGCATTCCAGGTAAGACCTCGGGGAACACCTAAGGAAAGTCCCTTACCATAGCAATCTCCTTCAGCTCTGACACTTGTTTTGAAGTGTCTCTTATATGAGCTAGAAAGCTTGGATACTCTTTCAAAATTAAACTACAAGCTTTCATAGATGAGATGATCATAGAGGATGCACCTTGATTACCTTGAAAGACAAGCTTCTCTCCTACAGGAAGCTTGATCTTCACTACCTTCTTATTACATCTATGGAGATGAACTGGCTAGACATCCAATCTATCCTTAGAATCACATTGAATTCATGAGTGATAATACAATCAACTCAACTTCAAATTCCCTCTTGCATGAAGAAAGTAATGGTGAACATACACTTGAAGCAATCATGCTAGACCCATCAGGTAGCAGAATTGATAGCGTAGTGGGCATAGTGCGGACATTCAATGCATGCTTCTTAACAAACTCCAGACTAATGTATGAATGTGATGCTCCGGTATCAAAAAGTACTCTACTAGGTAGATATTGAACATAAATAATACCTGTGATCACTTCAGGAGATTCTTTGGCTTCTTGCTGCTTGATAACATAGACCCTTGGTTGTACAACAGGTCTCGTAGCTGGATAACTAGGTGTCGATGCAGAAGACTTTTGAGCTCTAGGTCTACCAACTGTCGGATATCTCCCAGTACTCTGCTGAGGTGGAGGAGCACTAGACCTCCCCTCCCTTGGACCCCTTGGGCAGTTCCTAGCCATGTGCCCAGGCTGATGGCACCAAAAACAAACATTGGAGCTATATAAACATTCACCTATGTGCAACTTGCCATACTTATCACATGTTCTGACACTGGATGAACTCCCACCACTATCAGATTTGGTCTTCTTCATACTAGGTCCTCCAGAATATGTATGGAAACTCATAGTCTTCTCAAAACCCTTCTTCTTTTGAAGGAAGTCCTTTCGTTTCCGAGTAGCTTAAAAATCAATTTCTATCCTCCTTGCTCTCTTAACCAAAACAGTGTAATCATCAAGGCCAAAAGGAATCAACGGCTGTCAAATCGCATCACGAAGCCCTGACAAAAATTTATGGCATTTGTCTTCAACACTTGAGATAATATGAGATGCGTAATGGGACATCATAGTAAACTCAGTTTCATATTGTATAACTGTCCGATCCCCTTGTACTAATCAAATAAATCGCTTCTGCATCTGCCTCCTCATAGAAAGAGGCATAAACCAGTCTCTGAAGACTTTAATAAAATCACCCTATAGGGGTAAAATGGGAAAAATAGAAATATAAAATAAACTTGTCACGACCTGGCCCAATGAGCTCGTGTAGACGAGGCGGGAACGGGTGTTGGACGTTCAGAACATAAACTTTTCTTACAACATGCAGTGAATAATCTAAAACACCTCACAAGAAACTAAAAGCGCCTATAAACATTTTCCAAATTATATTAAATATTGCATATCATTGCATATCAGTTCAAATATACAAATGTGGCTTTAAAATTTTTCAAACACGCCAAACCACCCAAAATGAAAACTACAAATAAAAAGAAATAAGAGAAACCTGTCATCTGGTCCTCTACGACTGTAGATGAACCAAGAACGTTCAGCCATTCTTTGCAGTTGGTTCTCCTGAAAATGTCCAAAAACGAGGGAATGAGCTAAAGCTCAATAGAAAACACTAACTCTAACATCTCCACATGCCTTTTAAATGAAAATTTACATGTATGCTTGAAGTTTTGAGCAAACCCTAAAATTTCTCTCAAAGAAATCTAAGGGAAAAGAAACTTTTCTTGTATTAGAAGCTTACCTTTCTTCTTTCCTAAGTTTTCTCTTCCACTTCCCTCCAAAAGCCTGTTGGAAATCGCCGCCAGTCACCAGATTTCGCAAGCACCCGTCGCTCTTCTCCTCCTCTTCTGTTCGCTCCTTCGTTCGACCGAGAAAACACAAGGGACCGAATGAATTTGGTCCCTTAAGTGTTTGGGCCTTAAGAAAACAATTAAAATGCCAAATGACGCATGTGCCCCTCCTCCCATTAATTCCTTAAGGCTTCATGATGTATCTTGAGGGTAATTTGGGCAAAACCTAAAAATTTTACTTAAACGAACTTCTACGATTTTAATTTTCAAACCGTGCGAAATTTGGTATACGTTCTTTATACCATTTCGATTGAAATTTCATGTAGAATTTAATAAAATTTATTGCGTCGAATTCCGACGACTTTGAAATTTTGCATAAATATGTCGCTGCCATCGAAATACGTGCGACACATCCGATCGATAGATTTCGGGTTTTACAAAACTAGAACATAAAACACATAGAAAAAAAATAAACTCCTGATCGTAGTCGCTGATCTCTGATGTCCTCATCACCTTGAGTAATATGTTTTTTGGAAAATGAATATTAACACATGCTTACAGTCTTTTGCAGGAGCCTTTCAAATCTGTACCTGTCATATGGACCATACAGGATAGGTCTCTTTCTGTTCGTTTTAGTGAGTATCTTAAAAAGGGTCAGACTGGACTTGTCAATTATTGGAAGAGAATTTTCGACAGAGCTACTGTTGTAGTATTCGCAAACTACTTTCTACCGGTATGGATTGCAATTTGCTTTAAATGATGCTATTTTGAACGATTTAGGAAATTATGCTGAATTTAGATGTCTAATGTATTTAATCTTAAAAGCTTGTAATTTTTTTCTTATAAATTATTGCAGATCTCGTATTCAACATTTGACACGGACAACTATTTTGTTATTCCAAGTTCTGCTGCTGAGGCATGGGAGGCAGTTTGTTTTCTTGCCTCAAATAACCTGACCGATTTGCGAATTAATATGGGCTATAAGTCAGAGGATTTCCTTGTTGCTATTGTTGGCAGTCAATTTGAATACAGCGGTATGTGGCTGGAGAATGCACTTGTATTACAAGGATTAGCGCCACTTCTCCTAGAATTTTCTTATGGCAATTCTTTTTCTTTGCTCAAAGTTGGCGTGTTAATTGGGAACTCAAGTGGTTCATATAAGTCGGCTTTGAAGGTACTGTGCTGTTTGGCTATTGTGTGCTCTATTTATTGTGAAATTCTGTTAAATCATTCAAGCTGAATTTTTATAATATCCTTTTTATTGATTGATTTCATTTTCATGTTTACTGTTGTAGGCTGTTGCTCAAAACTTTGGTTACCCAAGGGACAGTGTGCAGCTAATTAGAGGCAATGGGGATGAATACAGTTTCCTTAGTACAGCAGACCTTGTGATATATGGATCATTCCTTGAGGAGCAAACTTTTCCACAGGTTTTGCTGCGTGCTATGAGTCTTGGAAAGTTGGTTGTTGCGCCTGACCTTGAAATAGTTAGAAAATATGTACGTTATTGCATGTCTAGTTCTTCTGAATATTCTATAACGTTCTTATTTTATCTTTTGGAATATGAATTTAGTAACTGTTTTTTGAAACACTGCAATATTAGGTTGTTGATGGGGTGAATGGTTTTCTTTACCCAAAGGATGAGCTTAACAAATTAACACTGGTTTTACGTGAAGCAATCTCGAGGGCAAAATTATTTTCCTCAGCCCAGCAAATTACATCGTTAGGGAACGCTAGAAATCTAATGGTCTCGGAAACTATTCAAGGCTATTTATGGTTACTGGAAAAAATCCTTAAACTTCCATCTGAAATTTCTTCTCCTAAGGCAATTGCAGATTTACCTTCAAAGTTGAAAGAGGAATGGCAGTGGCATCAATTTGCTAATCTAAGAGAGATGAATGATCCAAATAAAACTATTCGAAGTTATGAAATTCTTAATAAGATAGAAGAAGAGTGGAACCAAACAAATGTGACTTATTTTCACTCCAGCTTTGGTGAACAAATCTCCAGCATAAACTGGGAAGAAGAAAATATAATTCAGATGGTAAATGCTAAAAAAAGGTTAGAAGAAGACGAGGTCAGAAATGATTTTTTTGAATGATATTTTGTTCCTATCATTGCTGATCTCTATATCTGCTTTTTCGTTATCTTTTAATAAGTATCTAATCTACTCAAACATCAATCAGTTGAAGGAAAGAAGTGACCAGCCTCGTGGAACTTGGGAGGAAGTCTATCGAAGCGCTAAAAGAGCTGACAGGGCAAAAAATGAGTTGCATGAAAGGGATGAGAAGGAACTTGAGCGGACAGGCCAGCCTTTGTGTATATATGAACCTTATTTTGGTGAAGGAGCTTGGCCTTTTCTGCATAATAATTCACTGTACCGTGGAATTGGCTTGGTATGTTTGTCTATATGCACATTTATGAATCATGCCGTTAGGAACCTTAGGGCCCGTAGGAAGCAAAAACATGCTCTTGGTCACATCATTGCAAAAATTTGTTCTAAGATTTCTATGTTACACATACATTTTTGATTTAGACTATATTGTCACTAAATGTTATTACATGCTTTTCAACTAAACATTTACGTGGTATTACAATAATCTCCTTATCAAGTGACTATTCTGGCGACAAAGTTTCATTCTGGTGTGGTATATATCCTCATGATGCATATTCTTTTATGTGCTGCATATGATATTTTTCAATTCATAACACGTTCAAATTCATAAATAAATAACCAGCACCCATGCATTTCAACAGATTATAGGCTTACTTTCATTCTCTTTTTACTCATTATGCTTTTCATCCTTATTTTAGATGCCACAGGAACTGTCATTTTGAAAACAGGAAAACAATTAACTTCTAGATTATTTTGAAAGCAGGAAAATAATTAAATCCCAGTGCTCTCTCTAATTTGTTTCAGTTTTATTTTATTATGTTTATTAGTCTATTAAATATATACTACCAGATCTTTTCTCTTGCTAACGTGTTTTCTCTTTGGCTTAGTCATCCAAAGGGCGCAGACCTGGAGCTGATGACATAGATGCTAATTCCCGTCTGTCTATTCTTGGTAATGCCTATTACCGAGATGCCTTGAGTGAATATGGAGCATTTTTTGCTTTAGCTAACCGGATTGATAGAATACACAAGAATGCTTGGATTGGTTTCCAGTCATGGAGAGCTGGGGCTAGAAAGGTAAGGTCAAGGTATCTATTATACCAATAAGTTTGATGACATTTTGATTTGTTACCATTTAGATTTGAAAGGGTAGTGTCTTACCGCAGCAGACGCTTGAGCAGATAAGTATGCTGTGGTGTGGGATCATGAAGATGTTGAGATAGTACATTGACGGCGTGCGCAATGTCGGGTCGAGTTAGTGTTAGGTATTGGAGAGATCCCGTGACCCTCCTATAGGTGGTGGGATCGGAGAGGACAACATCGTCGGGCACCTGGACCGGTAATTTGGTGCAAGAGGGATTAGATAAGGAGTTGCAGTTGGTTAAATTGACGGAGCTTAATATAGATTCAGCATACGATGATTGGGAAAGAAAGTACTTATCTGAATGTTTCTGTATTTTGATGCCGAGAAAGTGATGAGCTGGGCCGAGATCCTTCATGTTGAATGCAGATTGTAATTCCGTAAGAACAGAGGAAATGGCATTGTTGTCGTTGCCGGTGACGAGAATGTCATCGACATAGACTAATAAAAATATGCGTATCTTGCCCCGGCACAGAGTGAGCAGAGACGGATCTGCCTTGCTGTACTCGAACCCGAGCTTGAGAAGATGGTTGGTGAACGCAGTGTACCACTGACGGGGTGCTTGACGCAGGCCATAGATAGATTTGAGAAGCCTACAAACGTGATTAGGATGATCTTTATCGGTGAAACCTCGTGGCTGGACCATATAAACGACGTCGTTGAGCTGACCGTGCAAGAAGGCGTTGGATACGTCCCATTGCTGTACCGACCAGCCGTGGAAGAGGGCGACGGTGAACAGGACTCTAATGGTCGGGATTTTTGCAACGGGACTGAATGTCTCTGCGTAGTCAATTCCGTATGCTTGCTGATTTCCCAGAGCCACGAGACGAGCTTTGAATCGAGCGATTGAGCCGTCCGCGTTGAATTTTTTTCGGAAGGTCCATTTGCAGCCTAACACTTGAGCGTTGGGAGGAGGTGGTTCGAGACGCCAAGTGCCTTGTTGTTGGAGGGCTAAAAATTCTTCAGCCATTGCGTGCCTCCATTCCTGCGTCTTGGAGGCTTCTTTAAAGTTTGTGGGATCGGGATCGTGACCAGAGCTGGTGGAGCTATGAGCAAGAAGGTTTAGCCGTGCGGTCGATTTTATTGATTCGGTTTGTGTTCTGGTGATCATGGGATGCCGAGCGGGAGGCGGGTGTGAATGAGATTCAGAGACAGGGATTAAAGCTGGAGGTTCGGGCAGAGCTTCTTGACTGGATGAGAGACTTGATTGAGGCAGAAAGTGAGTTGTCGGGTTTGAAGAGAGAACGGAAGTCATTGGTGGATGTCTTTGTTCAAATGCTGTTGATGTCTGTAGAAGCATAGCAGGAGGAACATCATTGGGTGGTACCTGAGGAGGCGTAATGTTGTTAGCAAACGGAAAGGAATGCTCAAAGAATGTAACATGTCGTGAAATGAAAAATTTGTTTGTCTCCCTGTTAAGGAACTTGTAGCCTTTATGGCTATCTGAATAACCGAGAAAGATGAAGGATCTGGATTTTGGTTCGAGTTTTGTATGCGTGTGCTGAGGAAGCAATGGGAAGCATTCGCAGCCGAATGTCTTCAAATGCTTATAATCTGGCTTGATGCGGAACAGTAATTGCAATGGCGACTTGTTATGGGTGTTTGGGGAAGGCATTCGATTGATTAAATATGCCGCCGTGGAACACGCTTCAGGCCAGTAATGATGCGGAACAGCAGCTCGGTGTAGAAGTGATCGAGTGGTTTCTATTACATGGCGATTCTTCCTTTCAGCCACACCGTTTTGCTCAGGGGTGTAGGGACAGGATATTTGATGTCTAATTCCTTTGGACAAAAGAAAGGATTTCATCTGAAGATTAGTGAATTCCGTTCCGCCATCTGTCCTAAGGATTTTAATTCGATGATTGAGCTGATTTTCAATAAGCGTAGTAAATTGTTTAAACACATTGAATACATCGGATTTATGTAGTAAAGGAAAAAGCCATGAATAACGTGAGTAGTCGTCAATGAACAGAACAAAAAATCGGCAGCCGAGAACGGAGGAGACCGGAGACGGGCCCCAGACGTCGGCATGCACAATATGCAGAGGTATTTGAGTTCTTGATTGAGAGTGCTCAAAAGGGAGCTTATGATTTTTACATTGAACACAAGTATTACAATTTTTAAAAGAAGTAAAGATGCGTAAGGTAGGATCAGTTTGAGAAATTCGTTGCAAAGTTCGGAGATGAGGATGTCCCAGGCGGTCGTGCCACACAGAGGAAGAGTTCTTGAACGCCTGAAGAGCTGTTGGAAGATGCTTGGATCCGGATGCGTTTGATATCCTGTACAGACCACCGCTACAGGGTCCTTGAAGCAACTGTTGATCGGTCATCAGATCCTTGAAAACAAAACCACTTGGATCAAAAGTAATTGAGATTTTGTTATCTTTAACGAGGTTAGAAATGGATAAAAGGTTATGCGAGATGTTTGGGACATGAAGTAAGTTTGATAAGAAAAGCTTACGATTCGGGGTAGGAAGAATGCCCGTGCCCGAGTGAGCAATGGGGATGTTTCTTCCGTCCCCGATGAAGATGTCGTCGAAGCCATTGAATGACGTCGGTTGTGAAAGATTATCAACAACGTTAGTCATGTGGGAGGAGGCGCCGGAGTCGAGAAACCAGTCACCGGACGAGACTTCGGGGTTGGCAATCAGTGCGGTGTTCTGTTTAGGTCCAGTAGTAGATGGGGTGTAATTGGCGTTCATACGGTGCCAACAAGCATCGGCCGTATGACCCTTCTTGAGGCAAATCTGACAGGTAGGAGCGGGCTGTTGTTGTGTGGATCGATTTGTGTTGCTAGGATTTTGCGTGGAACGACCTCTGGTTCGGCGTCCACGGCCCCTGCTTGCGTAGAGCGCGGTCTGCTGAGCAGTTTTGCTGGATTGGCCAGCTGCATCTGCGTTTACATGAATCTCCTCGCTGATAAGCATAGCGTATAGATTCTCAAGTCGAATCGGGGAAGGGGAGTTGCGGATATATGTCTTGAAAGACTGGTAGGCGGGTGTTAACCCGTTCAAGATGTACAAGATGATGTCCTCGGAGTCGATCGTGGATCCGGCGGAAGCAATTTGATCGACGAGCTTCTTTATCTCAGTTAAGTATTGGATCATCGTCGAATTCTTCATGGAGACGTGGTGTAGCTCATTCTTGAGCTGGATTACCTTGGAGCGACTGGTAGCCTGAAATTGGCTTTCAAGAATCTGCCAGATATCATGGGTTGTGTCGAGGTGAATTATATAGGGTAAGACGGTCGGAGATATCGTCGAGCAAATGGCTGCCTGAAGGTTTTTGTCGGTGATACGCCAGTTCTTGAGAGCGGTCAGGTGATCGGAAGATTCTCCGTAGGGAGGGGGCGGAGCAAGAAAGTGCTCAAAGTCGTTTGCACGAAGCAGCTTTAGGATCTGATGACGCCAGATCGGATAATTGTCGGTCGACAATTGATTTGGGACGAGGGTCTTGAGATTTGAGACAACGAACTTTAGAGCTGGAGAGATCGGTGAGATTTCCACCGGAGAAGCGGGTATTTGGTCGGTGGCCGCAGAGGAGGAAGCGGAGTGCGACGTTGTCATTACAGAAGGAAAACGAGAAGGCCTGATACCATGTAGAAACGGAAGGGAAGATAACTCCGGCAAACTGAGATCGCCGGAGAGGAGGAAGACAAGAAACCAGAAATGAGAAATATTATTATGTTGTCCTGCCCTGCTAGGTACAGGAGATAGCATATATAAATACATTAGCTTTACACGTGTTAAGATCTTATTGGACGGTAAGTAAGTTAGCCGTTAGAGCCGTTAGAGCCGTTAGAGCTTAAGCCTGTGTGTCTAATAGCTCTCTCTAATTTGTTTCAGTTTTATTTTATTATGTTTATTAGTCTATTAAATATATACTACCAGATATTTTCTCTTGCTAACGTGTTTTCTCTTTGGCTTAGTCATCCAAAGGGCGCAGACCTGGAGCTGATGACATAGATGCTAATTCCCGTCTGTCTATTCTTGGTAATGCCTATTACCGAGATGCCTTGAGTCTTGCCTATAAATATGAGAAGATGTTGTGAAGGAAGGGAGTTGATTATTGTGAGCAAAATTGCTATTGACCTGCGGGTTATTGGAAAAGCTTTCGAGCTTTGTCCGCCTTCTTTCTCATCCCCTTCAGAAATCTTGCGAGCTCTTTCCAACCTTTCGTCTCGACTTCTAACCTCTTTCGTCTCTCCGCAAGTGACACTCCATCTGTATCCTTCTTCTCAAAGTGAAGCAACTTTAGGGTATCGTGTCTTGGTTGATTTGGAAGCATTTGTTGGAGAAATTGGACAATCTTGTAGTGGTGGACCATCGGTTTGCTAGTCTTATGCACTTATCTTTTTTACCCTACAATTCGATGCATGTGAGGAACCCGCTATGACGGTTGTCTGAGGATAGCGTCTTTTATTTTTCTTTAAAATCTCTTAGTGTTTTCTTGTTGGATTTTGAAGTTTTAGTTATTTGCTTTTATTTTAATAAAGTTTGGTTTAAGTTCTATCCATTGTCCCCTTTGTGTCAGTTTTCTTACTTGTGTGTCTACATCATAGATCTTCCTCTCCAATTGAAGATCAAACATTATCTTGTATTTTTCTTTCATATATCTTGCAATAAAAAGAATTTTGATGGGTTCTTCTTCCTAATTTTTCATTGCAGTTCACTGATTTGACGAAATTACATCCACTTCCTATCAGATTTTCACACTAAGAGATTTTTTTCTCTTTAATGACACTCTTTTCGCTTTCTTAAGCCTGTCTATTTCTTCTTTCTATTTATGTTTCTTCTTCAAATATTTTATTTATAGCAGTGCACATTTTATTCAAATAAATTCAATCTCTATTTCGCATATGCATGTGCATTCATTAATCATTTATAGAATTTAATTAGTTTATTTATTTAGTAAGTTCATACATCAATGAGAATACATTTTTGGAAATTAAAGGCACGCTTAAGTAAGAAGGCTGAGATGGCGCTCATAGAATCCATCCAGGCACGGAAACATGGAGATTCATTTTACTTCTGGGTTAGCATGAATGAGGATCCAAGGAACCCTCTAAAACAAGATTTTTGGTCTTTTTGTGATGCAATCAACTCAGGAAACTGCAGGTTTGTTTCTTCAACAGGAGGATCTTAATTTCTAGATTTCTCGAATCTATTTTGCCTGAAACTTTATTCCTTTCATTAGCTTGTAGAATTTAGAAACTTTTGATGCTTGATCATACAGGGCAATCGCACTGGTTATTGTTCATACGATTACAACAGTGAAATCTATGTTGAAAGGAAGAGCTGCTTGACAAGGCTTAATTTTCAAATAAAATTGCTCAAACTTATTAATTAAAAAAATGAAAATAGTTTATTTTGAGTAGTTGAGACTATAGAAACAGGAATATTGGGAATTGTGCTGGTTTGTTGCTGGATCAGATGGTCCAAACTGACATGCTTTATCGAAGAACACCTTTTTTAAATGGTCTGTTTCTCCAGTGCTTTCTCGTTAAACATAAATGGCAGTCAAATTAGTTCGTGATTTGACACTATAATATTTTTAATAAGCATCATCTTCATTGCCCTATTTCTTGATGCTCTTCCTTTCTCCTTCTAAATGCTCTTTGCTTTCCTTGGTGGGGTACATGCCACAATTCCAACTTTTTTGGTGGAGCTGATGCAGCATAAATATTAGATTGTTAGACATCAGATTTAAAATATTAGATATTGCGAAGCTTGGAAACATAAGAATGTTTTGCCAATGACCTTCACTGTTGGGTAAAATTTATGTCTGAATATAGCTGAATCAACTAATTCTTGTTAATTGTTCTTTTATAATGGCATAAAAAAAGAAGAAAGTTGATTTTGAAGGAGCGATAGATGCCTTTGTGCTATTTGAAACAAAAGAAACTTATTGAGACCCATTCTGATGTCATGAAGTAGAAGTGATTTCTTGATTTGTTCTTTGTTATGTATTGAAAGAATTTCTCTCTTAACTATTGTATTGATTTGTAAACACTGACTTTAAAATAATTAGAGTGTGCTGTTCAATAAAATAATTTTTTTAAACTTTCAGTTATTGATTCTAAGCTATCTCGTCCCAAGTTATTTTTAATACCTCAAGCAGTTGTTGCATGATCGCAACAATAGTGATGCCAAGCAAACAAATGTTCCTCTTACATTCTGGTACTGCTTGGGGTACCTTAATCAATGTTTATGCAAAATTGGAAGCAAAATTTACAATCTTTTCCGCACGTCTTTTTTCACCATATTATTCAAATTGTTACATTTTGCTTTTTTTCTTTCTGGTTGACTTAAGGATTTAATGAACTGACTTTTATTTACATCTATTTTTCTTTGAAGGTTTGTTTATTCTGAGGTGCTGCGGCGGTTGTACAATGCTCCACAAGTTTGGGATTCTTTGCCTGAAATGCCACAAGATGGGGATACTTGGTCTGTTATGCACAGTTGGGCATTGCCTACAAGATCTTTTCTCGAGTTTATCATGTTTTCAAGGTGACTTCCATATTCCTTAATTTCTACTACTAGGAATACAAGGGGTCGAGTTGGCTCTCTTTTAGTCCAAGCTATGAACTCACCTCTATGCTAATCTACGTTGTATATTTTGTGTCAGACTCATCTAAATAGAAACTCACCCAAACAGACAAAGCAACTGGATCCAGCCTATTGAAATGTGATGATAATTTAAAATATACATGCGTTATTTAGAACAACATAAGCATTTTTTTATGAACAGACTTATAATTGCATTGACATTAACTAAATTATATTTAGTTTATATTTGTTTGTTATATTCAATTATATGTACTATTAGTATGCATACCAATTCTAATAAGTTTGCCTTTTTAATGTGCATCCTTGCCATCAGATAGTGCTTATGTTTCAATCTCAAAGGTAGTTGTTGATTTCAGCCGTTCACTCTCTTGCATTGGCAACTTAGAAACCTAAATTAGTCTAAGGTTCATCTATGACCTTGTGACCTCACTCATAAGAGAGCTCTAGTCTCAAAATAAGTTCTAAATGAAAGTAATTTTTTAGAGTTTGTTTAGTGACATGAGAAAATAAATAAAAATAATGGGTTAAATTTTAAAATTTTCCCAGCTATTTTTTTATGGTCATTTTAGTTCCAGAGTATAACGTTGCTCTAATTTAGTCTCTCAACTATACAAAATTGATTCAAAATGATTCTTTTGGGACTAATTTGGGATAAATTTTATAAAGCCGATGTTGACTAATTTAAAAAAAAAGAAAAAAAAAGAAGACAAAATTACATCCTGCAACAACAACATTTGACTTGTCTAATTTTTGTTGATGTGCGTGACTTCCTATGTGGAATCAACCCACTACCTTCAAACCAATCAAACCGAATCCTCCACTCCGACCAAACCCAACTGTCCAAAGCCCACCGCCTTCGCCTCTATCTATGCCTACTTGCTCGCATGCCTTACGGCGATGCACTAGCCCTGCTTACCGTGTCGCCTTGCTCGTTCTGAACCAAGGACAATTCCACGCTAGACATGCCTCCCACGTCCGACACTACCCAGGCAAACTCGCCCGACACCCCGCCTCTGCTTCTTACGTGAATTTGAGCCTAGCGCGACTCACAACCCTCTATGTCATAATCCAACACAATATGACCCGAAATTGCATAGGTCATACCATGCCAGATTGTGGCAAGATTGACCCTAAGATCTTGTTAGAGAAGTATTGAAATAAAACTTCCAATTTATATATTATATAGAGCCACTATTGAATGTAATATAAAGTAGAAGACTACTGAATCTCAATATGATTTTCTATATATCATCTAAAAACATGTAATATGAAGGTTATTTATAACAGCGCTTGACAACATAGAGCATAACAAAAATAAAAGCCAAGTTTACAAAAATCAAAACCAAAACATAAATACAGCACAAATCGGAGCTTGCTATCAAATTACTCAGTTCGCTCCTTACCCTTCCCCAGGCCTGAAAACAAAGCAAAAGAAGGGATGAGCTAACGCGGCTCAGCCAGGCTATTATAACTTAAAATAGAAATCAATAACCAAAACCAAAAGAACTGAAAACTAATCTGCATCATATAATGAAATTGAATACAATTAAATAAATACAAAATTAACTGAATTATAAACAAACACTTCGTAATGATGATCAAAATAGCTCTTAAGCCCAAGTTTTCATATATCTTTGTGACATAATCCCACCTCGGTTGCCCATTCTTCACATCATTTTTTAAAATGTATTTCATTAATTAAAACAGAATTGGATTGAATTTAGAAATTATTAAATTGTTGTAACAACTAACGGTAGACAATAAAAATACTAATGAGTAAAAATTTCTAATTTTGGAACATAACCAAATTATCAGAGATTATGTAAAACATTATTCCGAAGTTTTAATTGAACTGAAGTATTATTTTTAGATGTCAAAATAAAATTTTGAGTTGACAAAAATAGTTGCTTTTTCAAAATCACCCGGAAAAATTTATAAAATATACTTAAAATATTCGTAATCACAATATCTATAACATATCAAAAATCAAGTGATGAAAATTTTATCAAAACAAAGTTATCCTCATTTTTCCACATCGAAAAAATATTTTTCATTGGAAAAATACTAAAAATATTGAATTATTGAAAATTGAAATAGGTAAAACGTAACCTACCTGGAGACGAGCAAATTTTTCAATTGGGCCGACGGATAAAATCGCTCTACGATCACCAAAATCAAGCTTTTCTTCTCTCTCCTCTTTTTTCTCATTTTCTCCCAAACTTTCTTTGTTAAACGAATTAAGCTCAGGAAATGAGGCTTTAAAAATATATATAAGTGGATTTAGATATTTAGGATGAAGTAATAATATAATCTTATTATTATAATAAATTTTCAGCATAAAATTCATAGAGATTCTTTTAGGAATTGAAAAGTTATGGAAAAATATCCATAAATAACTTATTTAATTTAGAAAATTCTGATGAAATCAGTTTGTGAAATGGATAGCTCACGGTCCTAAAATCCTCACTTGTACCAACAGGTGTAATTTCTTTAGGGAATTTCACAAGTGCCCAAAAATTATAAAAAAATTTAGAGAAACTAAAACACAACAATAGATATGTTACGGGGAAGACGGTTTATGATTTGAGCTTATACTGACTCCTGAATAAATTATTGACTGTTGTAGGTAAAAATATATTTATTAAACTTTTGAGTTAATCCACCCGCCTTTAAAAAATGTCATCATCGATATTCACAGATCAAAATCATTTAAAATAAACTTGGATACAACTGTCTCATATCAGACTATTTCTCTCAAGTAGCCTCTTTGGCAGTATGGTGCTTCCATTGCACCTTAACAAAAAATCTGTTTACTTCTCAATTTCTTGACATCGTACTTCAAAATCCTATCTTGCTCTTCTCTATAATATAGGTTCGGATGAACCTCAACATCATTGGTAGATAATTGATAGGAAATACTTGAGTTCACAAGTAACCCTAAGGGTAAACTTGAGTTCTCAAGCAATCCTAACACCAAACGAAGAACAAACAACAGTAAATCTGCTGTCCACAGCAGAAAAACATCAAAAACACAAGAAAATCTGAGAGAAAACTCAAAGAAAAGCTTGTATTCCACTAGTCGATGAATAAAATAGCAAGATACAATTGATCCTCAATTCGAGAGGAGGATCGATCTCTCCCAAATCTCTAGACGCCGCTAGAGCCCAAAGAAAACCTAAATCTAAGAGATCTCAAATTTTCAGCCAAATTCAAGATGCTCAAACCCTAGCAAAATCAAATGTTTAATGCATACAAATCAAAAGGAATTCCCTAAACAGTCCCTACGTTCAAATTTGCCTCTCAAAACGCTAAAAAAAACTTTTTAAACGGCTCTACGGGGGCGGACGGGCCGCTCGATCTTCGCATGAGGCGGAGATCCTGCCTCAGTCCCGAACTGCCGGTCCCGTGCGGACCGGCTGGACCGGTCTAACAATACTCCCCTTCCAAAAATCCACCTTGTCCTCAAGGTGGAGATATGCTCGTGTTCCGGTGGAGGTGGCCATCCTTTAGGTGATTGTAAATCCTTACTGTATTGTTGAACCAAGGGCCGCACGGAAAGAGAAACATCCCCTCCCTCTTCCAATCTGATCGCATCCAGCCTGTGTAGTCCCACCAGATAGTCTTCCCCCACCGCTTGTACTCCCCTAACCATGGTCTTAAGTGATGTGATGGCTTTGGATAGCTCTGCATCTCTCCTTATGACCACCCTTCTCCCATCCACCATTAATTCCATCGTGAGTGCTCCCCAATTATCCTTGGTTTCCCCCAAGGTTTGCAACCACTTCATCCCCAGGATGACATCAGTGCTTCCTAACTCTAGTGGAAGAAAGTCCTCTCTTACTTGAATCCCTTGGATGGTCAACACTGCCCCTTGGGTGCTAGAAGAGTGGTCGTCGTCCTGTTAGAGCCTCTTGAGCAGTTTCCTCGAGCCCCTCTTTCTGTTTTCTTCTGATCTTCTACCAATTGCGCCAGCTTCATAGCCTTTCCCAGGTTCCTCGGCTTCAGTACCCTGACTGCTGTTCGGATCTCTGGTTTCAGCCCCTTCATGAAGTTCCCTTCTAAGGCTGACTCTGAAATGTGATCCAATATGCTAGCAAAGTACTCAAACCGATCCCGATAATCTGCCACAGTCCCTTCTTGAGTCAAGGCAAAGAATTGTTCATAAAAGTCTCCTCCCCCGTCGGTTTGGAAACGCTCTAATAAGCAATCCTTGAACTCTCTCCAGTTTCGGATGGGCTCCCTCCTGTCACACCACTGATACCATGCCAGAGCTTTGCCTTCCAGACACAGACCCGCCGCTGTCAAATTTTCATCCTCTGTCAACCCGTTGATAGCAAAGTAACGCTCCACTTTGTAGATCCAGCCATGGCCATCTTCGCCCTCAAAGACGGGCATTTTCAGCTTCCTCACCCGTGGGTCTCTTCTGTTACCCCGGTACTCTCCATAACCTTCCATTCCTCGAAGAGGGGGTGCTCCCCAAGTTTCCCGGTCCTCCCTCCGGCGATGGTATCCGAATCCGTCGTCATATTCCCCTCTTCCCCTTTCAAAATCAGCACATCGACGCTGAAATTCAGCACATCGACGCTGAAATTCTTCTATTCTTCCGCCAAAATTTGCACTTTCATCATATTCCTCTCTTCTACCTGCAAAATCAGCACCTCGACGCTAAAATTCAGCACCTCGACGCTGAAATTCCTCTCTTCTTCCACTAAAATCAGCACCTCTTCGATCATTTCCCATGCTCATCTCCTCCCTAGAAAGTGGTTCTAGAGGTGGCATGTCGTCTTCTCCCTCAAGGATCTCTACATCCGGATTCCTCCTCCCCCTAAGCGGGTTTGGATTTCCTCCTACGTCGTGGTCTCCGGTAGTCTCTCTTGCTTCCGACGACGTCGGATTAGTCTTCTTCTCAAGTAATTTCTTCATCATTTCTTCCATGGCCATGAATTTTCAGCAGAAGATACATGAAATACACTATGTATATTGAACATATAATCATGCAACAATAACATGTAAGCAGAACGATCAATCATCTCAACATCTCAAAATGTCTAATGTATCTTGGACTCAGTTTACTAATTATTCCAAATCTACTAACAACTTTCATCAGACAGACTTTCACATAAATAAAGTTACCAATCTGAAATTCCACCCACCTATATTTTTTATCAATACTTCTTTTGTCTATCATGTGCAGCTCTTAATCTTTTCCTAAAACAATCGGGCTACTTACAACAAAAGCCATAAATCCCAAACCAATTCAATTAATTGAGTAACTTCTAAGTGAAGTCATAAACCTCAAACTAAATCACTACTGAGTATTCTAATAGATGTAAACCCTATATCACCATAAAACGATAATTTACATTTAACCACCTCAGTTTACTCGGGATCCCTGAGAATAAGCAACCCATGGATGGTAATCAGATTTCCTAGATACTACGATTAACGATCACTAATGTTGGTAGACTGAAACTTACGGTATTCTCAGGGCAACGGAACTATATGATCTTGATCGGGTTTACCTCTATTCCCCCAACAAACGAGACTAAAACACTTAAATTGTTCATCCTTAATCGAGAGTTCTCTCTTACACAATAAGTGAGGTAATTAACTATGAGGGATTGCGCTCATAGGAAGTAAAGACCCAGATCTAACTAAACACTGATACTATCTTCAAGAAAAATCTGGTTAACTACAATCTTCCTTAAGTAGAATGAAACCCTAAGTCTGCAAAGAGGGATTCATGCTTACACGTCATTTTTTTAGCAAACTGTCGATGGATTAAATTGGAATCAATTTTATATCATAATTATAATATGAGGGACTATTTTTGATCAATTTTGTATAGTCACGGGATTAAATATAGCAACGTGATACTTTGGGACTAAATTTGCCATACATAAATAATTTGTGGACTATTTGAGGATTTTTTTCTAAAAATAAATTTTTAGAGTTTGTTTGTTGTCATGATAAATTAAAATTTAATTATAAGACTCCAATGAAATTGGTAAAATTCAATTTCTATTACACATTAATAGATTAATTAAAGATTATATTTCTAAATCTTGGAGTGCATGTGGACAAATAAATTACGGCTCACTAGACCTTTTCTTGTTTGATCAAAGAATGAATCAATATTCTTTGCTCCAACATTATTGGAAATATTTTGATAATAATTTTATTTATTCACAATTAAATTAGATGATAAATGCAAGCCAGATAAGGCAAGATCCAATTTCTATCTTTAGTGTGAAACTATAAACCCATTCCATGATGAATTTGCCACTACTAATTCTCTGAAGTCATTTCTAATACTCGTTCGCTTACACTTCAGGACAGCCAGATAGAAGTTGTCTCAACACAAACTTCATTGTGAGCCTAAATTTAAAGAGTAAGTTTTTTATAAAAGGAAAATGAGGTATATAAAAATAGGCAACCAAGCAAGTCCATATGCCTCTATTTGTTCACCAACTTTATGCTTGTAGCAAAAAAAAAAAAAAAAAACATTCCATTTCTCATTTCCATTTTTGAGCTGCCTGTAAGACCGAAAATATAATTGTATGGGCGTAAGTCCATTCTACCCTTTGGATAATGATAATTATTTTATTTAAAACATTTAATAAAATTAATAAGGCCAAGCAAATTTGCGTGAACTTAACTGCTCCAAGTGTAACACTCGATCAAGAATACAAAGGAGATTTGTCCTCTTACCCAATGTTGCGGTCGTCCATTGGTTCATTGTCATTCATTTTGCTTTATCTTTATTCTCTACCTTTAATATTCTCCCGGATTTCTAGCTACTGGTATAAATCAACTGGTCGAAGTTTTAATTTATTCAGGAGTTAATTCGGAGTGAACAGGTTAATGTAATGATCTTAACCCCATCCATTTGTTGACTTTCTTGGTATGTTCATATGAAGATGTAGAAGGATCTATTTGGTATCATTTCGGTCGTTTTATTTTTTTGAACATTAATATATTTGCATAATTGTTCGCAATACTTGGGATAATGATCTCTGAGTGTTGCTTGTTCATATTGAGTGTAGAAACTATTACTCTCAATAGAAACTAGACGTGTATATTATGACATATGTATGCATCTTGAACTTCTACTGCCTCAAATATGAGAGTTTGGGCTAATGAGTCTATAATCCTCACTTCATCTCTCTTTTGGTTTTTACGTTTTGCAATAAATTTGAAGTACAAAAAGAACTTGGATTGGTAAATCAATTTTCCCCTATATTCTGACTGAAATAGACCAAGTTGTTTTTCAAAACTAATACTGGATGAAAAAAATGGCAGACAATTTTAGTTAATTTTCTTTATCTCAAGATATTGATTGATCCTTTGTTATATTTCTTTTCAATTCACTCTGATTTTAACCAGTCACGATCTTTTTATTGAACATTGAATATTTTTCATTGAGATGAACAATACGCTTCAATTTCTTTCTGGTTAAGTTATGAAAATTTTTAGTCATATTGACTGTCTTATTTCTATAACTTTGACCGCTTGCATTGCAGAATGTTTGTTGATGTCCTGGATGCATTGATGTTTGACGAGCACCATCGAAGTGGCTATTGTTACTTGAGCTTAGCTAAGGTACACTTGTCTTGGTAATTTAGTTTCTCTGCTTGATTTCATTCCATGCACCTCGACAGTCATCCTTATATATGTCCCTTCATAAACAGAATCGCCAGTTGAAAAAAAGATGTCTAATTTTTTTCACTCAATCAGCTCATGTTTTTTCATTGGCTGTGTTTCTACCATTAAAGTAGGTAGAAAGAAGAAAGTGAACGAAGCCTAGGTTACTTTAATAGGCTGCAATATTTTACTTGGTTTTCTTAATTGTTTTTAAAATGACAATTCTGCCATTATTTTGATTTTTTTTTATAATTTCATCCTTATTTCATGGGTGAATATTTGAAATACTATATTTGCAAATGATACATTATTTAATATTAGTAGCGTTTGTTCTTTTTATTTGTTAGTTCGGTAACATTACCTTTCTTATTATTGTTTTATGAAATGACTTTTTGATTCAGAGATAGCTTATTATGCATAGAACAAATAACATGGTTGAGGCAGAATTTCTTCGCAATGCCTTCTATTAACATTTTAAGTGGGCTGGTATTGTGGGTGAAGTTGCCACTATTTGCGTTTTAGCATGTGTTATTGTTGTTTCCTTCTGCTGCTATTGCTGGACTGGAGCATGTGACATGAGATCTTTTGTCCAAGCACTGATTGTGGTTGTTTACTCTTCATCAGATAAATTGCAGCTAATACCTTGTGTTCACGTGCGATCCTATATTTCTTTTTGAGGTAGCCGTTGACTGGTAAATAGTCTTGTGATTCACGTGTGCCTTTTGAGTTGTTTGGCTACTTTTGCGATAATGTTGTTTTGATCTTTGCAACTGCTTACAATAATAGATTATAATATTTCTTCGGTGTTAGATCTTGAATTGATTATTGTTGTTTCTGCGATAATGTTGTTTTGATCTTTGTAACATGAAGAAGTGTTCACCTTGAGTTCCTTCACTCTTGATCTAATCTTGATTTTGAATTGGAGCTTTTGAAATTGAATCTACTTTTAAACATGAAGTTGAATGAATCATGTATATTGTATTTGATGAGTTAACAAATCATCTCTCCTATAGTTGATGCATCAATGAGCAAATTTTTGAAGTAATTCTTAAGATTTTATCTACTAATATTATTCCTATGATGAATGTTCAATATCATATGGATTTGTCTTAGTTCTTTGTTTCTAGATGTATCAATTCCATAGCAAAACCTTATAAAAATGTTTTTAAGTTATGCCAATTTCTAAGAGAATTTGTAAATGAGTTGTGCATTAAAAGAAATTTAAAATTTAAAACTCCATCTATCTGGTTGGATTAAAAAAGTACAACTAATTACAAGTTGATATACAAGTCATTTGAGTTTCGTTTCTTTAAATAGGTTGTCCGTTCATAGTCATAACATATTTGTATGGTTTATATGCTTTGAATTTTCCTTACCATCTCATCTTTAAATGGTTGGATTAGCATATTTGTTCTTATTAGTACACCTTAGGTTGCATATCAATACTTTGCTATTTTCATTACTTTCTTCATATTATTTGCTTAACTTTTATAATTTAGGTTGCATATCATTTTGTTCCGGCTTACGTGGATCATCAAATTAGTAATTTCTATCATAGTTTTTTTTCATCCAAATGTTTTAGGGTTTGGTTTTGCACGTGTGATTAATATTTGGTTAAATTTGTTAAATGATTGTTTTTTTTTGTGGTACGAACCCTGCATTTTCATGTGACAAAGTTTATTGATAAATCTTTTACATATTGTTTTTTGTAAATTTTTTTATTTATTTTGATAATATTTAAATTATCATTCAATACATCTTTCACTTAATTTAAAACCAGTCCTCACCCTAGCCGTTACCCTTCTTTGTTTGTGAATTGACCAAATATTCACACCCTGAAGGTGGAAAGGCTGTGTTGAGATAATAGATCACCATAACGTATGTTTCGATATCTTTTATTTTAATTTGTGTTATGTTATTCATTATAGTCTTCTGCAAAGGTAACTAAAGGAATATTTCTTGTTATTAATCTTCCCAAAAATTTCAACGTCTTATTGGGCATATTTTGATTGCATTAGCTGAATGGGTTCAATAGTGCGTTGAGTGACAATCTTCTTCCGTTTAGTTGATGAACTGAAGTCCTATTCCAAATGAAATCTCAAGTTATGAAAAACTTGATCACATTACAAGTCATAAGTTCACTGTAATCTTTGAATGAAAATTTTGATGAAGTTGCTTATTGTAATAGGTATTAGAAGTCTTTACACTTGCATGACCAGCGCACACCCAAACATAGTCTTTCAACTTTCAAATTGTTCCTTTCTCTTCTGATTAGTTTTAGGTTTTATTTGAGACCGTTTTTTACCGTTATTTTTTCTGTTTATAAAATTCTTTTTTATTAAAAAATAGTTTTAGTAATCAGTAAGTTAAAAAGTATCCTTAATGAAGCCTTAATATTAATGCTTATTGGCTTTCTTCACAAAGAAAATTAGATTAGAAGACCTGTAAACCAAAATAAAAATAAAAAAGTTCTCTTTAGATCGAGCGGGGAAAACGGGGTTTGAACCCGCGACTTCTGGCATGACAGACCAACACTCTAACCCACTGATCTTTTTCCCCCTTCGTCACTACTGTAAATTCAAAAAGTAACCTACCGGTTCGGAGCAAAAACTAACTGTACAACAAAATGTCATTTTTGATATTTTTTTCTTTGATTTGAGTAGTACGACAACATAAACAAACGGTTCTACTCGCTTAGACTAGGGTCTCCGCGCTCTGCTCTAGCTACCAGTTCAGTAAGTTAAAAAGTATCCTTAATGAAGCCTTAATATTAATGCTTATTGGCTTTCTTCACAAAGAAAATTAGATTAGAAGACCTGTAAATCAAAATCAAAATAAAAATGTTTTCTTTAGATTGAGCGGGGAAAACGGGGTTTGAACCCGCGACTTCTGGTATGACAGACCAACACTCTAACCCACTGATCTATTTCCCCTTCGTCACTACTGTAAATTCAAAAAGTAACCTACCGGTTCGGAGCAAAAACTAACTGTACAACAAAATGTCATTTTTGATATTTTTTTCTTTGATTTGAGTAGTACGACAACATAAACAAACGGTTCTACTCGCTTAGACTAGGGTCTCCGTGCTCTGCTCTATTAGCTACCAGTTAGTTTCAAGTTGGGCGCGTAGCGTGACTTCAGTTGAAAAAAGTGAACAACATAGCGCTAGCGTCTGCCGACCAATCTATATGCAATTTTTATTTAAATTCCCTATTGAACTCTAATCTTAGACTATAAAATAATGACATTCACTGGAGCATGTTGTATACAGGATAGGCACTGCTATTCTCGAGTTCTCGAGCTGCTCGTTAACGTGTGGGCATACCACAGTGCACGTCGGATCGTGTATGTGAATCCAGAAACTGGAGCCATGCAGGAACAGCACCACCTGAAGAGCCGACGAGGTAAAATGTGGATCAAATGGTTCTCATTCGCCACCCTCAAGAGCATGGACGAGGACTTAGCTGAAGAGTGGGATTCCGACCATCCTGACCGCCGGTGGCTGTGGCCGTCAACCGGCGAGGTTTTCTGGCATGGAATCTACGAGAGGGAGCGCAACATTCGCCACCAGCTGCGGGAGAGACGGCGGCAGCAGAGCAGAGATAAGCTCCGCAGAATGAGAGGCCGTATCCGCCAGAAATCTCTCGGCAAGTATATAAAGCCGCCGCCTGAGGATATTAGCGCTGTGAACGTTACAGGTAGCTGATCTCATTGTGTTTTTTTGCGATTGGATTTATAGGTTTTTTTTTTTTTTTTTTTATAGTTTTCTTTTTTTTTTTTTGGTTATTTGATTTTTGGTAGTGCAGCATTCTCTGATTCTGTTCTTAAAACCATTGGTAATTCCAAATGTATAGATAGTTGTTTTCAGTTACCTTATTGTGTTCATTCAGAAGCAAGTTTTGTGTTTTATTTTAGCCCAGATCTATCAATTGATCCTGTAACGAAGCAAGGTTATGCCTATGGGATTTCTGTTCTATACAGGGGGTGGACAAATTTATATGTAATTGTTGGTGTTGATTTGAATTTGGCTCGACCTCTCACTACTGAAAAAATGGGTCAATAGCGATAAAAAAAAAATAGAGACAAAAACAAAAAAGATGCTAAAGATATCTTTTAGCTAATGATAGTAACTAAGGCTTCTAAATAAAAAAGGAAACTTCATAGTTGTTCATATCCTTGATCTTTGTACGCTTCTCAGATATATCGGGGGTCAAGGGGCAGCATGCTGATTCAAATTAGTAAATAAAATGATGATCGTTGTACTCACAAATTTTGATTATAAGAATATTTTTTGAATTCAAATTAGTAAATAAAATGATGAAATCTTTTTATTGTTTCTTATTGTATTTGATTCATCGTTCTCTAATAATAACACTTCTGCACAATTTGAAGGCAATTGCACTCCTATGCTAAGGGGGATCAGCCCCTAGTTGTATAGGCACTTGTGGTATCATTTTGCTCATAGTTGCTTGGTTTTACAATTTTAATGTGAAAAATGTTAAATTGAAGGTGAGTTCTACGCCTTGTAACTCAAGTTTTATTAAATAAGTCAAATGAATATTTAAAATTTTATTTACTAATATTTTTAATAATTTTTTTTAAATATATTGTAAGTGCAATTAAAATTTTAAATTTATTTTATGAAATAATAGAATTATACTTGTGTCATTACGTTTAAATGATTTTTTTTTTTCAATTACTTAAATTTTCTTATGATATCTATGTATATTTATTTAACACTGCCGTTGCAAGGTCCCAAGTCCTGGATGAGAAAAGTGGAGGGTTGCGTTAGGTAGTCGACTTTCAGCGTAAAATTTGTCGAACAATAATGATATGAATCCTTTGTAGCCGACCCCACGTAGTGGAATAAAGGCTTGATGTTGTTGTTATTGTTGTTGTATCTATGTATATTTATTTAATGATAGAAATCAGTTATGACGTAATTTTTAAGCTCATCATATTTTTAAATTATAATAATTTGTTATTAAAACCGCATGCATGCTCTCTTAATGTTCTTAAAGTCATGAGTTTTTTTTTTTTTTCTTTAAAAAATTTAATGACAGTTACTGCAAAATTCAAATAGATCTTAAAGCATTCGATAATATTTAATATAAGTCTTATATTATCTTATTTTTTATGTAAGTAATACAACTTGCATAGACGATACTGTCTAAAAAATATTAATTAGGCTATTATTTTTTCAATTCATGCATGAGAGTATTTTATATAAATATTCGGATATTTGTGGATGGATTGCTGAGTTGCATGCAAAATAAATAAAACAGCCCCATAATCAGATATGCATATCGTTTCTGTTTTTTTTTTTGCGTATCTGTTCTGTTTGAGTCCAGATCAACTAGTATTTTAAACTGGATCAAATTTAACAATTTGATTAAAGGCTAGACCAAAACTTAGCTAACTATTTTTCTTAAGCAAATTAGTTTAATTTAATTTAGCAGATTTGTTTTTAATTGATAGATGGTTAACATATTTTAGAGATATTATATTATTATTGATTAATTTGGTTATATATTGCTGTTAGTCGGATGATGTGGAGCATGTTGATTGGTCTCCTATGGTGATTGTATGTAATAATTTATCCAAGCAACGACGGGGTTTCTTTGAGGTGATTTTTCGCCCTCATCTTTGGAAAATTATTAGCTGCGGAGATCGGACCTTGAGATACGTCTAGACATCCATTTAAAATTTGACACGTGGAGTGCACTTTGGTTGCGATTTTTTGTGCGTTATATTTGTGCTTTATCTACACTTTAATTGCACTTTGATTAGTTTATATTATATTTTTTACTGTGCTTTGATTATTCTTTACATGTGTGCTTTACTTATACTTTAGTTGTATTTTGACAGTTCTTTTGATGTGTTTTTTTATTCCGCTTTGATTGTATTTTATCTACATTTTTCTTGTAATTTACCTACGCTTGGATTATACGACTTAAAATTTTACTAATAAATTAAATATATAAAGTAAAAAATAAATTATTTACATCATTAAATATTTTATTGAAGTACAACGTTCTCTTCGTCCGGTCTCCCGACCTAATAATTTTCCCTCGCCTCGTGTACTCGGCGATATCGGGGCGGAAGAAAAAGCGTAGGAAAGCGAGCGACCGATCGGAAGAACGAGCGAGACGAGGCGATGGGGGTTACGCAGGCGATGAAGCGGATTCCTCGTATCAAATTCCCTCAAAGGCATCCCAAGCCCGCATCAGGTACCCGTTTTCTCGCCGTGAAATTTCGCCTGTTGCTGCATCTTGTTAATCTGCTATCTTGTCTGGTTTATTTTTTTTCTTCTCATTATCTAATGAGTTCTTTTTTGCTTTTTTTGCTTTCGGCCTTTAGGATCCGGAGCATCCTCACAGTCTGACCTGAAGGATTTGTTCAAATTCGGTCAGTTTTAACGCGTTATTGTTTGTGGAATTAGTTGTTTTCTATTTTTATTAGATGCCTGGGTTATCTCTAATTTATCTGTGGTGTATTTGGACCCTACTCATCTTATCTTAGTTTTTATTAGTTCTTTTTGAAGGTAACCAATTTACAGTAGCTGAAAGCTTTGTTTTTTTTTTCCTCTCCGGGAACTTGCATACTTGATATTCGGGAGATTCAATAATTACTTTTCATGTTCTAGTCTTTGGTTGAAACTTTTTGCAGAAGCTCCAAGGAATGCATGCATAGATTTAAGGCTGTAGAAGGTAACCTGTCACCTTCAATTGGAAAGTGCTAAGCTAGTTGAAATAGAATTGTCTATGTGTACATAATGTTCTGAGCTTTAGCTAATCTATCATTTTACGTTAAGGCATGACGCTTCTAGTTGTTTGAAGAAAAGTTTATTTTCTTTTAAATAGTCTGCCTTTGAATTCCAAATAAAGCAAAATTTAAAAACTTAATGAACATAGTAACATCTCCGTGTGGGATTAAAGAACTAAATTTCAATAAGTTGGGATACATGTACTATATTTAGTCTCATGCATCAGGTAGGTTTTCATTATACAATATGATGAAGAACTGTTAAGGGTATAGGGTTAGGATGAACTACACAATGAAAATGTTTAAAAATCATAATTTGTAGGTTACAACTACTAAATTCAGCAAATATCAGTCTTTTTTTATGATGCAGGGACACGGACACGGCGACACAGACACGACATGGACACAGGACATGGAATTTTTTTAAATATAGGGCACGAGTGTGGGGGCAATGGTGCGGACATGGCATAATAATTTTTTTAATATAATATATAGAAATTAAGGTAGCATCATATTAGAAATGACAAACAATAATAAATCAATATCATTATAAATTATTTAGCTTATAATATAAAATGTTTAGGACAAAATATCTAATACAACAACAACAACATCAAGCCTTTATCCCACTACGTGGGGTTGGTTACATGAATCCTTTTTTCTCCATTGTGTCATGTTAAGAGTAAAATTCTCATTTAAATTTAATAAAGAAATGTCATTTCTAATATTTCTAACCAAATCTTTTTAGGTCTACCTCTACCTTTTTTAACATAGGCCAAATCTAATACATATACTCTCCTAATAGAGTCATCGGAAGGCCGCCATTTTACATGACCAAACCATCTAAGGCGACTCTCTCTAACCTTATCTGTCACTAGAGCTACTCAACCCTTTTCACGAATATGCTCTATTTGTATTCTGTCTCTAAGAGTAAATACGCTCATCCACCTGAGCATCATCATCTCAGCAACACTTAACTTAATATTATGCTTCTCTTTTAATGGCCAACATTCTGCGCCATAAAGCTCTGCAAGTATCACCAACATTTTATAAAAAATTTCCTTAAGTTTGAGTGATATTTTTCAATCACACAACAAACCTGAAGCATTCCTCAACCTCAACCATCCAACTTGAATTCTACTAATAATATTCCCATCTATTTCACCATCACGCTGACAATAGATCCAAGATATATAAAACGAGCACATTTAGTAATGACTTGATTGCTCAAAGTCACAAAACCCCCACTAGATCTATTACTACAAAAATTATACTCCATTTATTCAATTTTAGATATACTCAAACAAAAATATTTAGACTCTAAGGTTGACCTCCATAATTAAAGTTTACCATCAACTCCCTCATTAGTTTTATCAACAAGAAGAATATCATCATAAAAAAAGCATACAACAGGGTACATCTCTTCCAAATGTCTAGTAAGAACAACCATGACTAAAGAAAAAAGATACGGGCTTAAGGCTGATCCTTGATGTACTCTGATGTAGACAAAGGGGAGGACAAAATATCTAATACAACCACAAAAATATAATAAAAAAATCATTTAGTACAAGTTTCAACTGCTCAGTAGAGGGAATGATAGCATTAGCTTTAGAGGTTTATCTTTGTCTTGAATATCATCATTATTGAATATCATTACTTCCAACTCTAGTTCATCAAGAGAAAGTTTTACAATATCCAATATTCTCATATCATCAAGGGACTCAAACCCATCTCCAACAACATTTCTCATATTGTTATTACCTTTCATGTAAAATGGGGCCTTCCTTGATAGAAGACGAAGATTTATATGCATATAAACTAAATTTTTAGCCCCTTGTGGAGTAATTTTATTCTTTTTCATTAATTAAATAAATGAGTATGGCTCCAATCTCTCACAACAAGAGGATGATGAAACTTGACCAAGAAGTTTTATTGTTATTGTTTGAAAAAATGATGCTGAAGTTTCATGAATTAACCACCACATCTTTGGATTCACATCCATCTATCTACCAAAGATTTTTTATCACCAAAATCCTTTAAATATCTAAAGAACTTTGCAAGTTCTATATTAATCTTTTTTCTCTCCTCATTTGAGAATTATTGTTTCAAACATATCTTTCTCATATTTGAAACTTTTAAATCTATTTGTGGCGAAATATGTTGAGGGTCTTCTTGAAACTATTCTTTACTTGAATATCTTAAAAAAAAACAAAGAATGTAAAATTATTAATTCATCAGCCAACAAATTAAAAACTAATTTTGAAGATATATTTAAATTTAACTTAGGTTTAATGAATGAGTCAAACAATGAAGAGGTGTGTTTCTTTTCTCCACGTATCCTCAACAATAGTATAGACAACACTCCAAAAGTTTGAGTTTTCATCATTTGTCTTTCTTGTATATCTTTATATAATTTCTTTCATTTTTGCTAACATAGAGTCCCACATCTCATAAATCAAATGTATGCATGATTTATTTTAGAGTCTCACATCTCATAAATCAAATATATGCATGATTTATCTATGTCAACCTCTCTCAACATATCATAAATTGGATTACTAAAAGATAAAATATAATCTATATTATCCCACCACAATTCTTCTAAGACATTTTTTTTAATGTATCTTTCCTTTCCATTGTCATTTTCTCAATAGCAAGACCACTTCTCACTAATCATCATAGATTGAATAACATTTTTTATTTGTTTGAACTTTCTCAACATGATTATTACAGAGGCAAAATGGTTTCTACAACACCTAAAATTCTCAAATGTGAGAAATCATTAAAGATTGAAAGTTTTATTGAGTGGTTCATAATGAAATTCTTGATTAGAATAACATCATCTGCAACCACTATTATCCAATGAGATTCAATATAAACGATTTTATTAGTCTCTATATTTTTGACTGCACAAATATTTTTTAAAGCAAGATTTAAAGTATACACAATATATGAAGTCCAGAAGATATGATGATATATTTGCTCTACTAGCAATCTTATAACTCTACATATTGGTGCATTATCAGTGATAACCTGCATAACATTTAATGATCCAATCATCACTATCACTTCTTTAATCAAATTGAAAATGAAATATTTATCATTGTATTCACTTTCACAATTTACACCTTTGATGAACATTGGATAATTCTCTGTAACAATAATAAAATTGATGAGTGATATTCTTTGAGGATCAGTCCAACCATCACACATCAAACTAACACATTTTTCTTTCCACACTCCTTTCGTTGGTTCAAGCAATGTCTCCATATTTGTTATTTTCCTTTCCAATAATTTTGATCTTCCTTTGGTGCTTTCCAATAATTTTATCCATAATAGAAACAGGATTGGAATCGCCAAAGGAAAATGTTAGACATCAGCATATGGGATTGGATCCAAAAATCAAATGCGAAGCATGGGCAACAAACATGATGGGACAACCAACAACTATGAAGCCTATCAAAGTAGAAGACACAAACGCGTCCGCAAACATAAATGACAAATGTGTCCACATATATAACAAAGCACTAGCTTAGTCTTTCGTTTAACTTTGGTTAGGTAGAGTGGTTATATATTATAAACTTGATCTATCCAAGTATTATAAATACATCACTGATTGTAAGAAAAGGATGGAATGAAAATATATGAATTGATTTCATAAGAAGTAAAAAAAAAAAGATGGAATGAAAATATTTATGGTTTCTCTATCTCTAGTCTCTCTCCATCCCCCTCTTCTTCCTTAAGGATTCTACACCTACTCGATCCCCTTTTTGATGTAGATCAAGAAGCATAACAAATTATTCTCTTGCATCCCTATCCAACCAAAGGTGTTCCTACTGTCCAGCCTTTCTCCATTTTAAGCACCAACGGCCACTTGCCAACAACAACAAAACATCAGCTGTTTTCCTTTCTTGATCTGCAACTAACGCAGCCATCATCTGCAAACAGCAGTAACCATCAGCCACAGCCGCTGCTCTGCTTCAGAAGAGCTCTCAGAAAAACTGCTTGCAGTTTTGAAGAAAAGCTGCATTCAACACAGCATTTTGCCTTCAGAACAGTGCAGTTTTCAAGAATCTGCGCAATAACACTTACCAACAGATTTTCAAGATCTGCCATTCTCGTCCTCCTGATATAAATACCTGCTGTTTTGAAAAATTTTCCATACAGTACCGGGAAGAATTGCAAGAATAGCAGCTTGACATCTTGCACCTAAGTAAACAGCACCTTCTGACATTCACGCCATCACCAAAAAACAATTCCAGCAGTCCCTCCGCCATCATAAACAGACCCTTTGGGCCAACTGCAGCCATCCAACGTTGTATTTTTCAGGTTTTTTTCGATACTACATCAGGTCCCTATTCTTGCTATCACGCATCACATCTTTTATGAGCCATCAAAGAACTCTCACCATGAAAAATGCTGATTTGGTTGAATCTGTCCGGTCAATGCAAACCAATCAAGAATTACATTTCTCCGAAATACACAAATCTCTACAACAAGTGAATGTGCAAATTGCCTCCATTGGCTCATCACTTAATATCCCCATACTTTTATGCATTCTATTGATTCTAAACTTAATAGTTTGTGCATTGACCACTTATTTTCTCCACTTCATCATGATCCTTTCTCTTCCACAGACATACTTGATTCCTCTGAACAAATCCCTTCTCCACAACCGCCACCTTTTCCGACCATTGCCTATCATATTCATCTTCCATCCTTATATTAACCTGATAACATTTGTCCTTATCATTCTCCAAATTTTTATAGGAATGTTATTCATAATCCTAGCTCTTTTTCTATTCGAATATTATTTCTTCCTAAGCTAGATGATATTTGGCATTTTTGCATCAATTCTAGATCCCTCAATATACTCACCATTAAAGATCAGTTTCCTATTCCAATATTACATAAATTTTTTATGAGAGTTTTTTTTTTTTTTCAAACTTCATCTTTGTTCTACCTCTCACAAGTTAAAATACATTCTAAAAAAATGTTCATCAAACTATTTTTGACAGTCACCTTGAATTTCTCCCCCTCTTTGGTTTTTTCTTCTCTCAACCTTGAGGACAAGGTTGTTTTCTATGACGGTGGGAGTGTTAGCATATGAGATTGGATCCAAAAATTAGATGTGAAGCATGGGCAACAAACATGGAGGTACAACTAACATCTATGAAGCCTACCAAAGAATAAGACGCAAATATATTCCACAAGCATAAATGACAAATGGGTTCACATATATAATAAAGCACTAGTCTAGTTTTACTTTTAAGTTTGGACAGGTAGACCAGTTCTTTATTGTAAACTTGGTCTATCCAAGTATTATAAATACACTACTTATTGTAAGAAAAGGATGGAATGAAAATATTTATGATTTCTCTCTCTAGTCTCTCTTCTTCCCCTCTTGATGTAGATCAAGAAGCCTAACAGAATAATAACAAGGAAAAAAATGCTCGATAGCTAATTTGGTTTTAACTGTTTTGCTAAATAGTTTAAAAGAAGAGACAAGCGCTTGGTCTAGCCTCCTTTCATGTAGATTACAGGTCTTGGTGCTGGCCTCTACCTTGACTTTTTGCATCTAGGAGAAGCTGTCATGGACTACTAGTCTTCTTCCGTCCAATAATGCTTCTTTTAGACCGGGCATTCTAGCTATAGATTTTTTTTACATGATGAGAATTTCTTTTAATGTTGTTTCCCTCACTTAAAGTTTGAACAAGTTTCATATCTGCCTCGGTTATGATGAAATTTAGAAGTCTTTCTCTATTTCGGCTTGTCTTTTTTGGTTCTGTATTTAACTAATATCTCTCATTTATCCTGAGAGAGTTCTTAGATTTTCTTTCAGAACTTGTTATCTTCAACTTGCAGTCTGACTTGTTGAGTTATCCATCGTTCGTTAGCCTAAATGGTGTTTGATGGACAGGTTCTCCTCCAGCTCAACCAACACCTGCATCAGATGGTGGTGGGACTCGAGGCTACAGATTTCGTTCAGATGTGCCAGCTCCGCCTACCAATGCTGCTATAGGAGGAAAGGCTTCACTTTTACCAAAGCGTACACCAGTCTCAAAAGAAGAGATTGAAGCTATTTCGGTATGCAACGCTGTATGATTTTGTATGATATAATTGTTCAGCATTATTAAAGAATTATTTTTTATTTGATATTTTATTGTTTGGATATCAAGAAAGTTTTGTTTAATTGTCAAAGCTTAGTGCTACTGTAACCTGAAGAAAGATCATTTGTTACTAAGAGCAGGTAGATCATGGTAGCAGTTGGTTTTTGTGTCCATTGTTCTCGTTTTGGCTAGATTTCTGATAGAGAACACTTGTAGATCTCAAGTATTACCTATCAATCTTCAGAAAACGGGGAGAATTCTCCACAAAGATCCACACAAAATCACGAAACAGTAGATAATTTGTATTATTTGATGAAAGGGAAACGGAAAATACCAAGATACAATTGATCCTCTATTCGAGAGGAGGATCTATCTCTCCCAAATTTCTAGACGGTGCTAGAGCCCAAAGAAACTAAGAGATCTCAAATTTCAGACAAATTCAAGATGCCATAATCCTAAGAAAACAAACTTTTTTAAGAAAGATTTTTGAGGGACGTAGGAGGGCGTTTGACATGTACAGGAGGTGGAAATGTCCGCCTCTATTCGCGTAAGCCGGTCCCATCGGATTGGGTGGACCGGTCTAACAATTTCCTGGTTTCTTCATTGTTGGTGAAGCTTTCAGAACTTTCTGCATTATTCACCAAGGAAAAGAGGCTGCATGTTCAGAGGAGAATGACAGAAAAAGTTCGTTTTTTTGTGGTTGGATATGGTTTTGGCAGGAAAAAATCATTTTTCTTTGCATGGTGATAGCTGTGGCTGAGAATAGATTTTTAAGAAGGTTGGGCAGGGAATAACTTTAGAATTTTGTTTAATGGTAATTTCTGTGGCTAGATCTTGGATTTTGGGGATGATCTTGAAGCGTCTATGATGATTACACTGAACTGGAAAGTATTTAGTCTATGATGATTACACTGAACTGGAAAGTATTTAATCATGTCATGTCCCGCCATCACCAGTTGGGGTGTGGGACAAATTATTATTTGCAGAGTATGGACATCGTTCAGAGGCCAATAAAAATGCGTCAGGTCACCCCAAAAGTGTACCGTGTTCAGTACCAAGCGGTACCGAACGGTTCTCCCGTCCGGTATCCGCACAAAATAATCTTTCTGTGCCATTCGAGCCATCAACCAAGAAATGTGCATGATTTGACTAATCTTATCTACTGAAGTGACGGTAGTTGATGATGAATTTTTCGATAGCCAAAGAGGCCAAGAGGGTTAGTTTTAAGCATGGTTTTTAAAACCAGATCAAACCGCTCGGTTCAACCGTAAACTTTCTTGCCTTATATGGCACTATAACAGTGAATTCAAGTACTGCTGAAATGAACATTAATTCATTCATAGTTCTTTTGATGCAAATTAAAACTGAAATGAAATGTATTCAAAATTTGCATTAATTAATTCCATTTACTTAAATTCCTCTTTGCTTAATGCAGATTCCTCCTCTAACATAAACTCCACTATTTTTTTTGCAGCTGGGTGGTTGTTTCTGATTTGCTCTCCCGTTTCTTGTGGATCTGAACGCTGTCTTACCCTTCCATGAAGACTTTACAGGAAATAATAGAGATTTTAGCTCCTTATTGAGAATTTTTATGAAGATTCATTCACCTTGGAATGTTTAAGAACCAAGAATTCTTTCAATCAGCCAAAAGGTTCCTTTATCTTTTTGAATTCAGCTGTAATCACTAACATTTAACTGATTTTTAGTAAATCTTTCTGCAAATACTCGGTTAGGGTGATGCATTTTATTTAAGTCTCTTTAACGAAGTCATAAAGCTGTCGATATGCATTCAATTTCTTATACTCAAACAATTATGTAGCATTTGAATGACAATGTAACCATCGAGGTTTAGGGTGGTTGGTGGGCGAGCATGATTGGGAACCCCGCATCCCGGATTCGAATCCCCTCTATTATGGCCTCGTCTCTTTAGTGGGGCAAAGCAAGTGTGGGCCTAATGCCGATGGATGGCCTCGCTAGGTTCTTGTCATTTGATCTACGAGTTGAGCCAAATTTGCTTGAAGTTTTGTTTGATCTAATCTCAATTCAGATAAGGTATGGTTAGTTCGTTTAGTCAAATTGATCCAATCATACATTTATTTTGATCTGATTTTGTGGTAGTTTGATTTAGGATTTGTTTGGGGGAGCTTTTTTTATTTTTTTATTTTTGTGCTTTCAAAAGCAATTTTTTATTATAAAAATTTGTAGTTTATGATATTTTTATATTAGAAAATTAATTTAGAAGGAAACAAAAAACTGCCTCGAGGCTTCATTCGATACCCTTTTTTTCACTTTTTTTTTTTTTTGAAGATTTTTTTACTTAGAAAATTGTTTTAAAAACAATAACAAAATTATCTCAAATGAAACCTTAATTTAAGCTTAGCATTCGTCAAATGGTTGTTTATTGATCTTGATTTGAGATAGAAGTTTATTATGAATTAGAATTGTGGTTAGAAGTATGAGAGATGACTTTTTTTTTATTATATTGAAATGAGAATTGGATTCTTAATATGACACAATGGAGTCGATCTATACAACACGATATTTGACTCATGACTTTACAAGTAGATGGGGATCAACAATTAAGTGTTTGTGATGAATATTAAAATTATTTAAATGTTGCTTAAATGATATAATAATATAAATGCGATTAAAAAATAAAGAGAATTTATCCATAATATTTTTTAAATAATTTGAAATTTAAATATTATTTGTTTATTTATTTAATTAGAACCCTAAACTCATTGCATGGAGAGTCAATAATGTTGGAAGAATCAACAATAGGACCATTTGCATGATTTTGGGCATTCTAAAGCTTTCAATAAATAATAGAAAATATGACATTAGTCATATATACTAAATATGTGAATCATTTTCCTAGGATTAAATGCCATAATTCATGGGCATGTTTTACATTTCTATGCATTTTAAGTTATCAATGTTATTCAAGATGAACAATGCTCCATTTAAGATTTTTAATTGAAGCTGGTGACCAATAAAGTTTACAAGACAATTTATACTCATAAAATGTGAATCATTTTATGAAGTCTAGGCCATTCAATTAGTGGTCATGATTCTAGGCTTTTAAGCTGTTGAAGTTTTTCAAGATGAACAATGCCTTATATATGATTTTTTTTTTTAATGTAATAACCCTAGTTTTCACATGATTAAAGTCGCATTAAAGTCTTGTAAATGATTGAGATGAATTTTTTTGCATGCATAAAAATCAAGGTGGGAGCATTGCTGATCTATGTTGTCGAGCTCTATGGCGCTGCCCTCTATGTACTTTGAGGTCTGGCTATTGAGAACACAATGGCATTTGGATTTGGTGTTGCGACATTGTCTTTTATATTCTATAATAACATGGGCGAGCGCTGTAGCGATGAGATTTGGAGCATCGCGGTGCTTGCATTATCAAGCTATTTTTTATAGAAAAATATCTAAATCCTTTTATTTAGAACTCACCACCACCATTCCCTACCCACATATCATATGCATAGTTGGGTGAGGATAGGGGAGAAAAGAGAGAGAAAGTGAGACTCACGCTGGCATTTTTCATTAGTCTAGTTATGAAGAGTAATCTAACCATGGTAAGTAATCTTTATCCTACATTTGTTTTAGTGATTATGATTTTTCTCCCTCCTAAACTTGAAATAATATATTTTCTCCTAATTTAAACGATTCCTTTTTTGATATATGATAGATATTATTATTCTAAGTATTTTGATAAAGGCTTGTTGAAATTTCACCAAATTGTTATGTATATATATTAATTTGAATGAAATAAACAATATAAAAACATGTATAAAATGTGTAGGAGCTAGTGCATTCAAATGTAGGCATGAAATACATGACTTGCATAAAGTTACTATTTATTAATCTAACATGCATTTTGATAAGCGCACGGGGTGGATTTACATGTTATGATAATTGTAGTAGATGTATACATGATAATTATATGTGTTTATATGATTTGACATATGTATGAAAGCAAGAAAGGCTAGCTGGAAATATTTAACTGATTTAGGTTAGTTTAAAACATATTACCCTATATAGGAGGGTGGACCAACAGACTTTTCTTTAAATACGATTTGTGGTATGATCCTAAAATATATGAAAAAAGAAGCATAATGAGATTAACTGATATGATATGCTAAACCGACGAGTAAGAAGTAATGACTTTTATATGAATGTCATTTAACTTGTGATTGAGAATGATATTACTAATATTTTTTACTAGATTGATATTATTAAAATTGATTCTTGTATGGTTGACCGATAGGACTTGATAGAGGGAAAACACTATAGGAGCCAGATGTCTTGGATTGCTTGAAACATGATATGCATATATGATAAAATTGTATATAAATTGATAAAATATATCATGATATGATAATTGAATAAATGATATGATATGACATGAACATAATAAATGACATAACTGATACAAAAATATGATAAGAATGATAAGATCGATATCAGAACACCTGATGCACATGATATATTATATTTGTACTTGTTATACATGAACATGATACACATACATTAAAATTATACAACATATATATAATATATATAGAACACTTATTATTATATGATAGACATATTAACACATATAATATGATATAGAGATAGAACAATGGTGTAAAATATAAACACACACAGATTCATGATTTCACCTATTGTGTTGTACTTTATACAAGTATATGAATGATAGAATGTACTAATCCTATATATAGTTATTGATTACATTGATTTACATTGCTTATTGATTTATAGTTATTGCATTAATTTCTACTATTCATATTGACTATCACATGTCTTACTATTACATGTTTATTCTGATATAATGAATGATTACATGCATATTATTTCTACTTTTGCGCATTGATTATAATTGTAGGTTCGGTTAACCTACTAGATTGTTAGCATATTCCGTGATTTACATGCTTTTTAGGGAAGTGTAAGGATCCAGTGGAGTTAGACTGATCTAGGGTTGTTACAGTGATAGGTATTTTATTTTGTTTTTCATTTCTTTATAGCCAGAAAATTTTGTGTAGACTAATGTGCTAGGATTTCTAGCTATATTATATGACTTTTGGGATAGAAATATAAATGTATATATTGATGTTTACATATGAAATGAAATGATATTTTTTGATGCTTTATTTTTTTATATGAATGATTAGTAGCTTTGGTTTGTGAATATAAGATAAAAGATGTAACTCTTCGAATTTAAATCTTAAGGCGTGACATCTTATTATTGCTATCAAGTACAAAGCTCTAAAGTGGGTGACCAATGAAGTTTGTAACAACTAATGCACCTAAATATATAGGATTAAATACCACAATTCAAGAGCACAACATTTATAGACATCTAACTTTTCGAAGTTATTCAACATGAATAATGCCCCATATAAGATTTTTTTTTTAAGTATAGTGGGCGACAAAAGTTTTTAGGATAATTAATATTGATAAAGAGGATAATCATTTTATTGGGATCAAGTTATAGGATTAAAGGCCACAATTCTAGGCATCTATGTCATTAACGTAATTCAAGATGAACAAATGCCCCTTATAATATTTTTCTTATCATCATTATCAAGTATAGATCTCTAAAGTGGCCGGGACCAATGAAGGTTATATGACAATTTATTCTCCTAATGATGAGAGTCATTATATGAAAGCTATGTTGTGCTATTAGAGGCAACAATTCAGGGGTTATCCTTAAAAACATTTAAGTCATCAAAGTTATTCTAAATGAATCACACCCCATACATGATTTTTCGACCAATACTATCATGTATAGTGTACTAAAGTGGGCAGACAATAAAGTTTGTAGGATAATTAATTCTCCTAAAGATGGGAATCATTTTAAGAGGAGTATGATATATGATTAAATGCATAATTCTAGGCTCATTCCTAACATGTTATACATCTATAGACATATGAGTTGTCAAAATTATTCAAGATGAATTATGCTTGATATAAAATCTTTTGTATTGTTACTATCAAATATAGAGCTCTAAAGCGGGCGACCAAAGAATTTTATTATACAATTAATACTACTAAAGATAGGAGTGATTTTATGGGGACTTGGTCATAGGATTAAATGCCATAGTTTTTATAAGAAAATAATTCTTTATGCTTTATAATTGGGGTCATAGCTAAATAGTATATAATCTCATCAAATGTAAGAACATCATATTAAACGTGTTTATCAAACTAAGACTAGACCATGCAGGATTGTTTTAGAGTCTTAATTAGCCTTGAATACTTAGTATTGGTGTTACGACTAGACCCAATATGACCCGACCCAACCTCCCAGATCATATCGTACATGATCATGGCAAGAAGCTGAAGCTGACCCCCCAAGATCTAATTGGAGAAGTGCTAAGAAATTAAACTTCCAATTTATATACGACACATAAGCACTACTAAATATAATATAAAGCAGAATATCATTGAATCTAAGAAAATGTATATATATATCATCCAAAAATTCAATCTGAGTTCTACCTACAATAGTTCTTGGCAACAGAAAAGTATTACAAAAGTAAAAGCCAAGTTTGTAAAAAAAAACTAATCAAAAGTGTCCCTACAACAAAGATTAGCGTTTGCTATCAAAACTACTTACCTCACTCCTTATATTTTTCTTGCCAGAAAATGAAAGCAAAAGTATAAGTGCGCTAACACAACTCAATAGGGTACAACAAGGAGAAAGTTTGTTATATAGAAGTCATAAGGTTATATAA